GGTATCTCTAGCCTCTGTTTGCCAGAAGCTGAGAATGGGCAACAGAGGATGGATCACTTGGTGATTCCCTGTTCTGTTCATTCCCTCTGGGGCACCTGGCATTGGCCACTGTCAGAAGACAGGATACTGGGCTAGATGGACCTTTGGTCTGACCCACTATGGCCGTTCTTATGTACACCTTTAGCAACAGGTCAGCAGGGTGGGCAGATGCTCACTCTTCCAATTTGGTATAAGGAAAAGCAACTTGTTCACATGTATGAATATTCAGGCTTGTTTTCAAAACCTCCATGAAGGACAAATATTCATTGTACGATTTATTTCTGACACCAACAGTGTCCTAGGAAGGGCAGGGCGGTTTAGCGGACAGACTAGAGTTCAGGAGAGGTGGGTTCAATTCCTGACTTGCCCCGGATCATCCGGTGGCAGAGTCACTGCCCTCCCCGTGCCTCGGTTTCCCCACCTGTAAAATGTGGCTAATGCTGTTGACCTCCTGTATAAAGGACTTTGAGATCTACTGATTAAAAGAACTAGGTATCATTTTAGGAGTGGCGCAAATGCAAAACAAGGCATCATCCCTGCCCTAAAGGGGGGGAGGGATAGCTCAGTGGTTTGAGCATTGGCCTGCAAACCCAGGGTTGTGAGTTCAATCATTAAGGGGGCCATTGGGGGTGGGGGAGGGAATTTCAGGGACAGTACTTGGTCCTGCTAGTGAAGGAAGGGGGCTGGACTCAATGACCTTTCAAAGTCCCTTCCAGTTCTATGAGATAGGTATATCTCCATATATATAAAAGAGAATAAAATTAGTTGCAGTCTGAAAAATGCTGGCAGGAAGTCGCTCGCCTCATACACACCTTCTTGCAGAAAGTGCACAGCTTAAACGCCCAGGCAGCATTTGGCAATGCAATGCGCAGCGGACACCCATAGGTTCATGCAACTGCTCCTTCAGAGAGCAGGCTATGGCGGAGTCCAGACCCACGTAGGTATTGGGCACCTACCTCACTGATTTCAAATCAGTGAAAGTTCGGAGCCCAAATACCTTTTGTGGATCCGGGCCTACTTGCTCATTAGGCTAATGGCACTTTCGGAAGCACCCCTCAGAGCCCTGCTGTGGTTGCCCAATCAGTTCAACAAGACATGATGCTACCCGTTGCAGTCCTGCTGCTTGGCACCTGGAACCCTGCCATCAGAACGTAGTGCAGAAAACCACAAACCTGGTCTTAACTTGCCGGAAGCCGACCAGAATCGCCTCTCTCTGGTCTCTCGCTCTAGCGCTCAGGTTCTCATTCTGCAGCCCGTCCGCCAGGTAACCTTCAGTATCTGTTAGGGAAGAAAGTTACAACCGTCAGGAAACTACACAGGTGGTGGGCAAGAATTAGATTAGGAGGAAATCTGCTTTCAAGTAAGAAAAGTATGCCTAATGGTCCACTGAAAGCATCTGGGAGCATGTGATCAAACAGCCTAAGCTAAAGACAGTTGACCTGAAGGCTCTTCTATTAGAGAGGGTCCGTAACTAGTAAAAACAATCACACTGGTGGGCGACACACTGAAGTTTTGCCTAAGGCAGGAGATGGTCTTGAGCAGCCTCTGGAACTAGGTTTGCATGGATATAAGCCAAGACAATTGTGGGGAAAAACCAGCAAGGAACCATGAAGAAACTCTACCAAAACAGAAGTGAAACAAGACAAGGATCAGCATAAAGAACAAAGGGCATGTCTACCAAAGTTGTGCACCGGCTAGCACAGGTAACCATAGCACAATGTGGGCTTCAGCGTGGGTAGCATGGACCCTGGATATGTACTCGACTTGCCAACCTTCGTGGCCTTCATTCCCATTATTACCCACAGTAGCTGGATTCAAGCGAGCATGCTGGGTAGATATACCCAAAGTTACAATGTGAAATAGGGGGTGCGGGAGGGGCTGAAAGAGCAAGAGCCACAATGGAAAGAAAAGTGCAGCAGGAAAAAAATAAAAGAGAATGGAAAATGAAGTAGGAGGCTGAATACGAGTGTTTTGGACCCACTCCTCACAAAGGGTCCAGTTCTGTTCCTGTTGAAATCAACGGCGAAACACACCATCGAGGTCAATGAGAACAGGATTGGTCCCAAAGCAGAGCAGAGCATGAACAAGAAGAACGACCTTGTGGGCAACTGAACAGAGCTGAGGGAGAGAGATTCCAGAGCCCCAGTCTCCAAGCAGCCTGTCCACTGCTGGATATTGCAGGATTAAGGGAGGGTGTTAATAAACGCCCAGCACCAGGCCCCTAATCCAATTCTTGGCCACGCGTTTTCATGCCATGGACTGACCCAATGCCACACCCACTCCCTCAAGCCGTTGTTCCTTTGGAAAAGGCCCCCACGTGTGGGATGCTGAGTCCCTCTGCATGGATTCAGCATTGGTTTTTTGCTTGACATTCATGTAAACTGCCCAGTCTTGGACCACATGGATCTCCAGGGGGTCTGGGTTTCAGCGGTAAACAGGCAGGAAGGAGGAGCTGCAGTGTCGTTCAGATTCAGACGCAAAACGCAGAGGCCGGGTAACCACCTACACTGAAATAAAGAGACAACCGTATGAAAAAACACAGAACCAAGCTGCTCTTTAAAGGGACAGGAGCGAGCGATGGGTTATTTGTGGTCCAGTCCAATATACATTTGTATCACAGCGTATGATCCTCTTCATAGTTATAGATGAAACACAAGAGGAACCGTATCCTTTGTTTATTTGACGTGGGACGGTAGGCACAAAAGATGGTTTCAAAGAAGGAATGAGCGTTAAACCTCAAACAACGTGCATTTAGATGGGCTCACTTGCACTATTAGCCAAATTGCTTCATGTGAAATATTCCAATACCCAGCGAATTGTATGTTCTTGTTTCAGATGAGCTAGGACAACTCACCTGGGGGGAAAAAAAAATACTTTCACAAGCAAAAATTATCTGGGATAATACTTATTCCCACTGTTTTCTGATTTATGATCAAACATCTTCTATTTGCAGGGATATCGGCTCTCCTTCCAGAGAACTCGAAAATGAAGGATTGCTCCCAACACCCAGTTCTGATCTCGTGCCAATAGAATGCCACACGTTACAACGGAGTTGCTGCCAGTTTGTGCTGGCGAAGCAGAGATTAGAATCAATGCCACACTGATGTAAGTAGCCAGTGTATCGGCCTACACGAATTCTAGCATGCCCCTAACTGTGACGCTAATGAGAGTTTAATATCCTGCTTGCCGGGCTTCCAAATTTTTACACCGCTGCTACATGAAAGTTCGCCCCCCAAAAAGGAGTGCTTTCTCTTTAGTATACCCTAGGAGAGCACACGGCTCTTTAAAACATTAACTAAGTGCGTAGCATGTTCTCAAGTTCAAACTGGCATGAGAGGAATATCCTTTTCTGTCTCTCTTATCAACCTTAATTTCCTTCTCCATCTGCTCTGTGAGACATTCGAAGGCGCACTAGAAGAATGCTAAAGGGGCCAGAACTCTTTAGAATGGAAATCACAGTCTGGGGTGAAGCGGGTACCTACGTCTAGAGGAAGAGACTCTGGGCACATACCAGCAGCCAGAAGACCGGGTGCTACTCCTGCCTGACCTGTGAAGCAGCCAGCGAGCGGGACTGAGGAAGCCTGGGAATTGTACAAACACAATTTGTAAAAACAAGCGGTCTCGGCCCACATCACTTCTAGTTTCTGAAGCAGGGAGTTCCCTCCTGGGTTGGATTCCTTCAGCTGAAGCCATCCATTTCCAGTTGCCAACCAAAGTAATACTCAAGTTAACAAATACGCTTATGCCAAATCCAGGCTCTTCCCGCCTTCTCTGCCTTACTGTTTTCTCCTCATTTCCTATCACAGCCCTCTCTCCCCCTTCTACAGAGCAGGCACTTCCATTAGAACAAGGCTTAACATGACGGCTTTCCCTGTGTCCTGGTAAGAGCACAGTTGCCTTCCTTTATCCCACAATTAGAGTCCCGAGAAGCAGCTGTGTCTTGTTAACCCCTCATTAGGGCAGATTTCCTATGTCTGCCTTAGGTATACGGCCCCTTTTAGCCTAATATCTGAGCCCCTCACAATCTTTAGCCTCAGAACACCCCTTCGAGGTACGGAAGTGCTGTTGTCTGCACTTTATAGATGGGGAAACTGAGGCCCCGATCTGCAGAGGTGTTTAGGCACTTGATCCTATTTAAATCTGTGAGAGTTAGGCACTTAAATATGTTTGAGGATCTGGGCCAGAGAGATTAAGTGACCTGCCCACGGTCGCGCAGGAAATGCGTGGGAAAGCAGGCAGCTGAATCTAGGTTTCTGAAGTTCCAGGCAAGCCCCCTATCCCTTGGGCCGTCTTCCCTTTCCTACATCTGTAGGAATTTAGCTTGTGAAACAGAGGCACGGTACCACTGGCACAGTAGAAGCCCAATAATGCCATTTGGGAAGCCAGGCACAAACCACTGAAGGAGGGTTTATACTGGTAATGCCAGCGAGGTGCTTTCCAAACACTACGAAGGACAGTCCCGTCTCTGAGCAGCTCACCGTCGAAGGACAGACCAGTAGACAAAGGTTAGGGGACAGGCACTAAAGAAGGCAATTTATTATATACAAGTCAACTCATTTCCCTGTAAGCAGCACAGCAGAAACGGGTCATAAAGAGGGACTTAAGGGAAAACAATTGTATGGACCATATTTCCACAGCGAACACGAGTGGAGACAAAAAATGAAACGTGTGCGCCCTCGTCATAAAAATATAAACACAAGTTGCATCCCTCTGACATTTTTAAAGGCAGATTAACTCCATGAGTATGAGATTAGCTGTAATAAGGGATTTACTTACCAGGACGTCTGTGTGGATCAGCTGCAGGATAAATTATAATAAAACCACGCTCACTCCTGCAAGCTACAGCGAGCTCCCTTTCTGAGCCGCCTGCTAGGTTTATAGCACCAGGAAATGAAAAAGAAAACCTGACCATAAACTTTCAAAGTGGATCAGGAAGAGCAATATGTAAGCAGCCCTAGAGTAAATCACACGCTGATGTTAGTTTTACTGCTTAGCTGTAATACAATAGTCTTGATGTTTATGGATTGCTCGCCGCGATCCACTCTGAAAGTTTACAGGACTCTCCTTTTCATTTCCTGCTGCTTCAAAAAAAAAAAAAAGAGTTGAAATTTCATCAAGCGCTTCAGTGGCGTTTGCAAAGGAGATCGCGGTTAATCCAGTGGGAGTTGCACAGGGTCATAAAATTATGTCACAGCTAGTAAAGTCCAGGTAGTAAATAACATTATAATGGTGGCTCTAAATTCTAGGAGCTAATCAGCACTCAGCAGTGAGGGGGATGAAAGGTTTTAAAATACCACATGTGTGTCTCTCTCTGCTACCCAGAAACGAGATATTAGAGGGCACATAACAGCACCTGTAGCAGTGCACTTAAATCCAACTACAGTTCCTACCCAGACATTACTCACAGACTCAGAGGCATGGTTTCCCCAAAGAGTTGCACAGATTTACCCATGCAGGTGAGTGCCGATCGCATCAGCATTCTCAGATACTGTTTTCCCCTTCCCACACCACTCCCGTCACCCTGCCCACTCCCCAATCCAGGTGGGAGTGGGAGGGAATTGGAGGCAGCTGCTAACACAGGAACTACAGAAACCAAGGGGTCCAGAGGGTAGTGTGGATGCACTGAGCTTCGGCACGAATGCTTCAAGATCTGCAGAACTTGGGGCATCCACAGTTTTGCAGGGCCAGATTCACCTCCCCAAAACAAGATTATAAGGAAACTAAATCTGTAGGTTCCACAGAAAGGATGATTTAGCCATGAGCAAAGACAGGAGGGTTTGGCCAAAAGTCTGTTTCAAACCCACAAGGGAGCTGAACCTCAGAACAGAGGTTACCCTGATTTCTTCACCTTGCCCTGTTGCAGTGGTCTGAATACACCACTGTCTCACCAGCTTCCATACTCCTGAAGCAGGACAGGCTGGGCAGACCCAGAAACATCGGCCTTGAATTTTCAGTTTTAACACAGAGTTTCAAGCTTTATCCCTGAACTCCCTGACATGTGAGAGTCCAGTGATGCTACCTCCACACCGTCCATGGCTTAGTCTCCTTCAGGAAGGACGAAGGGTTAAAGAGTATTTGTAAAGGTGACAACAGCATCAAGGTTGCTTGTCCTGAAATTAGACCTCACCAGCTTTGTTGTGCTTTGCAGGTGCATTGACACAAGCACCGGACCAGCTGCTCCGTTCTGCCTGGGCCCTGCACTCCAGCAGAAACAGGCTTCAGGACACCACAGCTCACAAGAATAGGGCCAGCAGGCAGGGGCGCTTGGAGGATGTGCCAGGGTTTACCCACATCACCGGCATGTCTGCAAACCAAACAGCACTCTGGAGTTTTTGTGGGTTAGTCACCCTGCTGAGAAATAGATTTTTTTTTTAAAAAACCACCTTGGTTTGAAAGCAGACACAAAAATAAAAAACCCGCACGGGGAAGGAACTTTTAAATATCAAGATAAAGTTTTGTGGAGGGCGTTTAGACTTTGAGCCAATCAACTTGAGAGCAGCCCTTCAGTAAAAACTGGGGCCCCAAATCTGCAGACACTGATGCTGGCGCTGAATGATGTGTGATGAGTGATGCTTCAACGATAATAATGCATAAGGCATCACTGGGGCTACTGACGGGTGGAAAGTTAAGCGCAGGCTTAAGCGTTTGCCGGATCGGTGCCTAACTCCAGAGAGAGAATGCAAGGTAGTAAACAGCTTTGAGCCCACAGCGGCTGAAAGTCTATTAGCTATCACACCACCACCACTGTCACTAACAAGCCATTCATTAGCTAGTCTTGTGTATTATGGATGGCACCGAGGCATCCCTGAGTTATGCAGGAGCGTGTACCTTTAATATCGGAAAATGGACATTACTGGATGAAGCTCTCAGTACGTTCTTGGCGTCTCATTTCTGATCTCGATTTTAAATAAACTCTCCTGGTTGTTGCCGGCACAGGGGCCCGAGGACAGCAACAGTGAGGTTCGGTGCCCGGAGTGCTTCACGCCAATAAACATACCGGGGTGGAGAAACAATCAAAGTTTATTTGAGATCTCAAAGTGGTGCAAGGAGACAGGCAAGTCTCAAATTCGAGCACACCAGCAAAAACAGTTTCTCTCTTCTTTATACATTTTACAACTAAGCCCCCCATCTCTACCACCCCCCTCTACTCCCCCTCCCCTCTCTACCGAAGGCATGTTTATACATTTAAGCAACTAAATCATTCTAGGGCTATAAATCTAGCTTGTTAGTAACTTCTCCCTAAACAGTTATTTGGTCCTGTTTACCCTTAGTTTATTACCCCTTCCCCAGCTAGAAACATGCAAACCTCATCATTATTGTGTGGTACCTGGCATGAGCAAGGTTGTAATTGCTAACTGGCTATTTACACATTCCAATTCCTGTCCTTGGTTGTTAAGGCCGATCAGAGTTAAACATGGAAGGACAGAGTTTAAACATGGAAGAACTCTGGCTCAGGCAGGCATAGTAACCCCAACATGGTGATGCACTTTGCAAACACAGAAACAGCCTGCGCGCCTAAGTAACTGGAATCCTCCTTACGTACAGGAAGGCCCGACCCCCGTACAGACTGTTAAGACGCAGCAAGTTTGATACAGAAGTATGTGACATGCAATTAATCTCCATTCATAGCCTGCTATACTTGTCAGCAAACAAAGGCTCTGCTTTCGAAGGAGATCTGAAGACTTCAATTAAAAACAGTCAGCTAACAAGAAAATAATCTAAGTTAAAGGGAGGTGGCAGGTGCCAAAATGAGTTGTTTACAAAAGTGTCAGCTCTGAACAATAAAGAGCTGCACATCAAAAATGCAAAGGGGGGTGAACTTCACTGCAGCCTCATGATTAAAAATAAAGAACAGGAAATTCACATGTACAGCTGGGGGAAGACACACAGCATTTGAAAGCGAGCTTTCTCTCTCAAATGTGACCGATCTCAGCGCTGAAAGCTTTGCATGTCCCAGAAGCGGAGAAAGTCAGTACTCCTAGCTACTACTGGAATGGAGAGGTACGGGCTACCGCAGGTTTTGCTCAGAAGGGGTCCAGCACTGGAAGTGTACTGTAGTGAGCATGGCAGGGGAGGCCTGTTAGCAGTGCTGTGGATTAAAGAGACAGTATCAAAATGTCTCTGTGTGTGTGTGTGTGCGCGGGAACTTGAGGTGTATCAAAATGTCTGGTGTGTGTGTGTGTGTGTGTGTGTGTGTGTGTGTGTGTGTGTGTGTGTGTGTGTGTGTGTGTGTGTGTGTGTGTGTGTGTGTGTAGTAGTAG